GATTGGCTTTCTCAAGATGATATAAAAGTTGGAATTTCTTTTTGTGGGAGCTTATAAATAAATGGAGACTGGCTTGACTCCAGAGAAACGTTTAGCTCACAAGAACTTTCCATAGACATTTAAATCAAGTATTTCATGTTTGTGAAGCTGATAGAAACATTTTAAAAGTTCATAAAGAAGAAACGTTCAACAATGTTTTGCCTAATTCATAACTTTGTCTGGAGATGAGGTGTGTGCATATGTACGTGCCTTTGGCTTCACAGACATTTGTTTCAAAGCACATAATAAAATTAGGAAGTTTGTAGAAAGCTCCTGGGGTAAAGAAGCTGCATGTCTTAAAGGCAGACTCCCTGCCTCAGAATCCATGAGCACATGGATTGTGTAAAACAATGATGATCAATGTTTGAGGAGAAATATCTATAAGCATGCATGCAATCATCATCCTTATGATAAAGAAATGACCAAGGGCTGTAAAAAGGATGTTGGTTTACTAGGAGTTGTAACCCTTTCTTCATCTGTAACCCATGCTGTAACATCCCACAATCCTGTGGGGATTTAGCTGTGTCCCGGGGTCCAGGGCTCTGGATTCTGGGTTGTGCCCAGCTGTGTGTACCTTGGCTCATGCTGTTGGGAAGGAGCTGTGAGACAGTCTGCAGGAAAACGGGAATAATCAAATTGCAGGTAGGATTGTTAGTAGCTCAAGGATTCCACAGGTAAATACCAATGTGGAACATTTAAAAGCCTAAACTGGAAAAGCAGGGATCAGGCTGGGGCAGTAATTGTTGAGTTATCAGGTCAAGATTTAAATGCTGATGAAGCTGGTGGAAGATGGTGGCTCAGCAATACTCAAGGATCAGTCTCAGAACCACAAAGGCTGATCCTTCCCAGCTGTCACCCAGTCTAGCTTTATTGGGGTGAGTAACATACTAATATTTAGTATCACATCCTCAGCTTAGTGTATTAACCATTAATTGGTTTACATGTTAAAGTTTGTACATCTTGCAAACAGCTTTTCTCTGGCCTCTCAGGTAAGCGTGCCAGAACATAGTGACTCAAGGGGTAATAAAGTATAATTCAAGAGATACATCAGTAGTAATTGTAAGGTTTTGGTTTTGCCCCCTCGTCCCTAGAATAAATAAAATTCAGCGAGTTAAGTTGCTGTTAAGAGTGCTGTCTTAGGCTTGTTCCTGTCCTTAGAGAAATCTCCTTCAGTCATGGTATTGTAAACTCAAGCTGGTTCTAATGTTACTGGTGCTTGAAGAAATCATGGAGTGTGACTTCCTCAATGCAGCAAAGCATCAGCTGTCAGGCTAGTAACATGTCTCCTGTCAAGTCACCTTTTGCCTGTAACTTTCTTCTGTGGCATGACAAAAATGTGCTCACTACATCTGTCCTATTCAGTGAATCAGAGCCTGCTGACATGGAATGCCTGCGCTCCATGCAGCCTGGCTGAAAATCTCTTACCTCTGGCTTCTGGCTGTTTTAATTGTACTAAATGGCTTCTTGATAAGTGAGTTTGTACAGGGCTGGCTTCTCATCAGTTATCTGCTTAATCTCTACTGTTATTTCAAGGCACTTATGCCATCCTTTCTGAAGTGTTTCAAGTACTCTTCAGAAGGTTACCATGCAATATTCAATCCTAGCTATCTGTGTCTGTGCTACTCTTTCTAAAGAAATACTATGTCTCCCTATGGGAGACATTACTGTGGGGATCTGTTACAGACCGCCTGATCAAGGAGAACCTGTGGATGAAGCACTCCATATACAGATAGGAAAAGCCTCACACTCACAGGCCCTTGTTCTTATGGGGGACTTCAACCACCCTGACACCTGTTGGAAGGACGGTATGGCCCAGCACAAGCAATCCAGGAGGTTCCTCGATTGTGTAGAAGACAACTTCCTTCTGCAAGTAATAGAGGAGCCGACAAGGAGAGGTGCCGTGCTTGACCTTGTGCTCACCAACAGGGAAGGGCTCATTGGAAATGTGACTCTCCAGGGCAGCCTTGGATGCAGCAATCATGAGATGGTCGAATTTGAGATCCTCAGGACAGTGAGAAGAGCGTGCAGCAAGCTCACTGCCCTGGACTTCAAAAGAGCAGACTTTGGCCTCTTCAGGAACCTGCTTAGGAAGGTTCCATGGGATGCAGCCCTAGAGGTCAGGGGGGACTAAGACTGTTGGTTGATATTCAAGGATCGCCTGCTGCAAGCTCAGGAGTGTTGCATCCCAACCAGAAGGAAGTGCAGCAGGAGGGCCAGGAGACCTCCTTGGATGGATAAGGAGCTCCTGAGGAAAATTCAATTGAAAAAAGAGGCTTATAATAAGTGGAAGCAAGGACAGGTGGCATGGGAAGAGTACAGGGATGTTGTCCGGGAAGCTAGGGACCAAGTTAGGAAAGCTAAGGCCCAGTTAGAATTAAACTTGGCTAGGGGTATTAAAGATAACAGGAAGGGATTCTACAGGTACATAGCAAATAAAAAACAGACTAGGGAGAATGTAAGACCCCTCAGGAAGCTCTTGGGAGAACTGGCTACACAGTATTTGGAGAAGGCTGAGGTTCTGAATGACTTCTTTGCTTTGGTCTTCACTGCCAAAGGCTCTGACTGCACCACCCAAGTCTTGGAAGGCAGATGCGGGGACTGTGAGAATGAAGACCTTGCGTCCACTGTAGGAGAGGATCTGGTTCAAGACCATCTTAAGAACCTGAACGTGCACAAGTCCATGGGACCTGATGAAGTCTATCTGCGGGTCCTGAAGGAGCTGGCAAATGAAGTTGCGAAGCCACTGGCCATCATATTTGAGAAATCATGGCAGTCAGGTGAAGTTCCTGATGACTGGAAAAAGGGAAATATAACCCCCATTTTCAAGAAGGAGAAAATGGGTGACCCAGGGAATTACAGAGCAGTCAGTCTCACCTCTGTGCCTGGCAAAATCTTGGAGCAGATTCTCCTGGAAGGCATGCTAAGGCACGTGAAAAACAGCAAGGTGCTTGGTGACAGCCAGCATGGCTTCACTAAGGGGAAATCCTGCCTGACCAATTTGGTGGCCTTCTGTGATGGGGCTACAGAACAGATGGACAGGGGTACAGCAGTTGATGTCATCTACCTGGACTTGTGCAAAGCATTTGACACTGTCCCACACGACATCCTTGTCTCTAAATTGGAGAGACATCAATTTGATGGGTGGACCACTCAGTGGATAAAGAACTGGCTGGATGGCCGCACGCAAAGAGTTGTGGTCAATGGCTCCATGTCCGGCTGGAGACCAGTAATGAGTGGTGTCCCTCAGGGATCGGTGTTGGGACCGGTCTTATTCAACATCTTTGTCGCTGACATGGACAGTGGGATTGAGTGCGCCCTCAGCAAGTTTTCTGATGACACCAAGCTGTGTGGTTCGGTTGATACCCTGGAGAGAAGGAATGCCATCCAGAGGGACCTTGACACGCTTGTGAGGTGGGCTGATGCCAACCTCATGAAGTTTAACCATGCCAAGTGCAAGGTCCTACACCTGGGTGGGAGCAATCCCAGGCACAGCTACAGGTTGGACAGAGAAGAGATTCAGAGCAGCCCTGTGGAGAAGGACTTGGGGGTGCTGGTTGATGAGAAAATGAACATGAGCCAGCTTCAGTGAGTGCTTGCAGGCCAGAAAGCCAACCGTATCCTGGGCTGCATCAAAAGGAGCGTGACCAGCAGGTTGAAGGAGGTGATCCTGCCCCTCTACTCTGCTCTTGTGAGACCTCACCTGGAGAATTGTGTGCAGTTCTGGTGTCCTCAACATAAAAAGGACATGGAACTGTTGGAACAAGTCCAGAGAAGGGCCACGAGAATGATCAGGGGACTGGAGCACCTCCTGTATGAAGACAGGCTGAGAAAGTTGGACCTGTTCAGCCTGGAGAAGAGGTGGCTGCGTGGAGACCTCATAGCAGCCTTCCAGTGTCTGAAGGAGGCCTATAAGGATGCTGGAGAGGGACTCTTCATTAGAGACTGTAGTAACAGGACAAGGGGTAATGGGTTAAAACTTACACAGGGGAAGTTTAGGTTGGATATAAGAAGGAAATTCTTTCCTGTAAGGGTGGTGAGGCACTGGAATGGGTTGCCCAGGGAGGTTGTGAATGCTCCATCCCTGGCAGTGTTCAAGGCCAGTTTGGACGAGGCCCTGGGTGATATGATTTAATGTAGGGTGTCCCTGCCCATGGCAGGGGGTTGGAACTAGATGATGTTAAGGTCCTTTCCAACCCTAACGATTCTATGATTCTATGATTGATACATTGTCACAACATGCCTCCTGTGTTGCTGTTGTCTTCCTTAAGCATCTCAAAGAGGAAGTACTGGGTGACAAGATTCTTGGGGTAGGCTCAATATAGCCACTCTAAATACTGAAGATAAGCAAAATATGGCAGTCATTTACATAGTGTACCATAAGTCTTTGGAAGGAGATACAGCTTTCATACCAACATTGGTGGGATTAGGATTTTGAACTTTCTTTTTCTTCAGACACTGAAATGATGTGATCATACAGCATAAACAAAGCTCGTAAATCGTGTCTAGGTCATGAGTCAAAATTGATAAGTCTTGGAAATGCAGAACTGTACCTTTCTTTTTTTCACTTTCCCTATTTCTTTAGCTCCTACCCTTTTCTGTAATAAGAAAATATTTATCCTGTTTTCTTATTTTTATCCCATACAATGTGGACTTAAGTTTACTTGGATTTGAATTATACATTTATCTCTGCTAGGATACCCAGATGTCCACAGAAATCCTTGGCACTTTTGGGGTGGGTACATGCAGCACATTGCAGAGCTGGAACTTGACTTTGAAAGGAGCATGGCAGAGTTTAATAAAAGTTAAAAATGAAAGTAAGAATGATTTAGGCTTCTTCTTGAATGATGAGTGACCCATGATTAGTTACATGCTTCTTTTTAAAGAGACTGTTTAAGTAGCATTACCACCTATTAAAATGAATGTGCCAGCTTTAAATTCATAATCAATTATACTTTTTATAGTTGTCTTCTCTGAGGAAGAGAGAGAGCAGCTGAGAAAGTTCACAAATAAATCTTACCTTCTGGATAAAAGAAGCCGTCATCATGTGTATCTTGGTTTAATTGATATCCTTCTGGCCTATTGCTATGAAGTCCGTGTCAACGAAGGAGACAAGAACGTAAGTCAAAAGTTTCAGGAAGTTACTGCTGGACCCTCTGCTGTCATTTAGAAAACTTACCTTTTAAAGTGAATTTACTTCCAAGCATTAAAAATATGTAATTAAGTTAAAATGAAAGATTTTACATTTCTAGCTATTGGAATGCATGTGGGGATTATTATGATTTCAAGACTTCTGCTCTTCTGGAGCAACATTTTAGCTGTAGAAGAGAACTGCAGTTGCAGGAGACTCCAGACAATTGTTTGTTTCTGATTTGTGTTATATTGTGATATGTCTTGATTTATGTAAATTTAGATTCACAAAATAATTACTCTTCTGCATTGATGGTTCTTCCTTCTGGGGTTTGGACAGTTCCATAATAGAGAATTACAACATAATAGGTATTATTACAAACAGGTATGTGTAATAATACCACTAGTGATTTGGATTCTGAACGAGTATGGGAAATCATTGTCTGTAAGACTAAACCTATGCGTTAGGCTACCTACCATTGTATGCCTTTTAAAAAAGTGATTTTTCCAAGAGTTACTTTGTTTAGTGGGTACCTTGTTTTAAGCTTATGCACAGAGCATGAAAGGTGTTTCCTGGGGCATTCTGGAAACCAGAGTGAGGCATTTAAAACTTTCAAAATTGACACACATAAAAGAAATAATAAAATGCTAATGCAGAGTATTCTTTTTCTGGTGTTCAAACACTCAGGGAGGTAGGAAGGCATGTTTCCATTTTCAGGATTCTGGTGTTTGCCTGTCTCTTCCACAAGCAGCAGCCAGCTTTACTTTATGTTCTGTATCCCAGGCTTTGTACAGGATATTAAGAATTAAGAAAAGAGCGGAAGTTTAGGATGGATTCCATGCTGTGCTGTGGACAGCTTGCTTTTTTGAAATGGACTCACTTCCCAGATACAGTTTTGTGTCTGGCATCTCCTCTGCTGATATTAACCAATACAGTGTTTTCTCAAATGCTTTTAATCAAAATATTAGAACATATAATCCAAACCAGTCTTAATCAGTCTTGCATGTGAGGCATGGATTTTAGAATGGCAGAAATGTCCAGACCTGTTTATTCAACAGGATAATCTGGGATGGTTGTATTGTGTGTTAGTGTTGCACAGAACCACAAATATGCGAGGAACACAATTGTACCATCCTTTAGTGACCTTTGCAATAACTGCATGGTATATGTGGAAAACACACTGTAGTCTTTTTTCCTCTTCTATTTTTTTATACACACCGCTCCCAGATCTTCAGGCCATACAAATCTTTACTAGAGCCAGGCATTCCTGGCTTTTTGCCATAATCATCCCACTAGACCACGCTACCACACAAATACTGTGAATCTGTAATGACATTTTACATGTACTGCTGGCTTTAGTAGCCTCTTTGAAAGCCAGAGTCTTGAGCTGTTTTCACGAAACAAGGCGTTTGAGCTTGAGCTTTCTTGAATCAAGTTTGTTGCTTGGTGAAAAAGGACAGAATTCCACTGAAAAACTGTTTTTTCTGTGGTTGCTCTTGTATTTAAAAGGCTTTCTGCATAGGCTAGATATTCCCAATACGGAAACCAATTCAGTTATTTAACATCTGCATTGCAATATAATTTTTAATGCTGTCCTGTGGCCATTTCAATGCACATAAAATAATTGCTGCTTCATACTCACAAAGGTTCTTAAATTGCTGCGAGAATGTTACCTTAAATAGTTTGCCAGCAGTCTTGAATGTTGAATTAGATAACACTTGTTTTAAGGTCTCCTCTTAAAATCAGGTTGAATCGTCTTGGAACATAAGGAAACTGAGTGCAACATTGTGCTGGCTGGAGGTAAGTTAAAACTTCAGTTTTGCATTACCTGCTTGCTGTATTATTTGGTTTTGGTAGTGGATGTTGCTTCTGTGGAAAGCTTACTCTTTCAGTATGAAGATGAATTAAGTATATGTCCTCTTTTTAATAAATGTTATGGGAAATAGATTGTGACTTCTGGGCTTCCAGCTACTACCACCCTCCCCAGGCTGGCATATGATCTCTCATCTGTCTGGGAATGGGCCACCTTCTGGCCCATTCTGGAAAAGCTGAGGATAGGCACTACAGAAAAGCTGCTTGTCTACACACTGTCCTGAGCTCCTGGGCTTGATTCATAAGTTCTGACCTTTATTTAGGAAGTAACTGTAATTAATCTTCACATACGCATGTGCAACTCCATGCTTAGGGCAACAAAATGGAGCTACCTAGCTCCTTGATCAGAAGTCACAGATACCTTCCTATTTAATCATCAAAAGCATGTTAAAATAGAAAGGGCATAAAAAGCAGAGAATGTAATTTCTTAGTGTTTGTGTGTCCTGTAAGTCTTACCTCAGATACATGTTTTAATAACTTTTAAAGATGACAGGCCCTGATAAAGCAGCTTATTGTTCACTTCTGGGTTTTTCAGCTGCTGAACTCTTCTTCAGCCTTCCTAGTTCATTATTCTGCATTTCTAGCTCACTCTTTTTCTTGCCTGAAAATGAGGCACCTTCTGGCTTCTCCTCAGTTCTGCCGTGTGGCTTCAGAATATGTTGGGAGAGCAGAACTGGGAAGCCCAGACATAAATGGAAAACCAATGATAGGAAAAGCTCTTACAACTCAATCAAAAGGTGACTGGTGGTTCTTTTTCTTCTCACCTGTCATGGAGAAGGTGAATTCCAAATCCCATATTCTTGTAGCAAGAAAACTTCAGTTCTGTGGTTGCAGAACTTTTGTCTCAGGGTTTAATGATTGTGTGATCTTTCAAATGCTGAATACTTTTGTGTCAGGTTTCTTGCAGTTGGTGGTCGTGTGTGTTGCTTTAACTGCCCCCTTCTTTGCAGCATTATTGCCACATCCCTATTTGTTTAGCTGCTGTTAGCCCTTTGAAACCAACATAGACTAGAGGAAACAAACTAAGTTCTGTTCTTTGCACTTTCACATTGTTTACTGAAAGCACACAAGCCTGTATCATTAAGTTGTTATGGTCCTGGAAGTGGAAGGGACTTAACCTGCTCTGTAATCCACTGTTTCTTACAATGGCAGTAAGCTAGAAAGGACTGTCCCATCTTCATTCCTAAAATTACTGAGCCCAGTATCAGTTTGCAGGATGAAAAGTGAAATTTGACAGGATTTTTTGGGTTCAGTCCTTCAAAGGTTTCTTGTAGTGGCGAATGTTACATTCAGTGCTATGGTTTTCTAGATCTGTTTTAATTTGTTTCCATTGAAAGTTCTGTCTTGAATCCTGAATTCTTTTCATATCCATGTCCGAACATAGTGAAGGAGCTTTTTGCTTGTGCTTATCCTATAATATATAAGTTCTTAGTGCAGTCTGTGCCAACAGTATATTTCACACCCAGAAAATTCAGTCTCCTGGCACCAAGCTGTTAATAACTATATCTGTTCTACAAGCCATGTAGAGGCGGGTGTTTTCATCAATCTGTAAACAAAATTGCCTCAGCTATGGTTTGATTGAACTGACTGCCATTTTGCTGTGTGTGACATGTACACACCTTAGAGTCTAAATATTAAATAAGAAAACATAAATTATTTAAATGCTTACCAGTGCTCCATTAAAATGAAAAATGGGTTGAGGTAGTTCTATAATGCAAAAAAAGTGCTGGCTGTCAGCAAAGCATTTTTATTAATTTGAATAAATTGAGAGTTTGAGATGAAATAGGTGTTTTGATTTGCATTCATAAATGGAATATTTTGTCTTGAAAAGTGAAAGCTGGAAAGGAAATCACTCTCTTAAGTTAATGCCTCTGGCCTGAGTAAATTTGAGGTCTTCCTCACTTGTGAAGAAGGACAGTGAACTGCTTTCCCTGAGCAGGTATATTTATCCCTGTCTCACATATCTGTAATTTCCCGAAAGACGAAGCCATGTATCATTTTTAAAGATCTTACATGTACACATGTATTTTGTTAATATCATGTGGTTTTAATTTTTCCTTATTCTTAAAAGGCTTTTTATAGTTCCCCCTTAATATATGTAATAATGTGGGACAGATGTAATATATTGCTTTAATCTAAAGGATGGCAAAGTCTTGAGTTAGATGTTTTATTCTAACATTCTCTAAATTCTTTTTTTAGTTCAAAACCATTAAAATGTATAGGACTTCAGTTAACCTGCCGTGCAAACTAAATGTGCAGTGTCTTGTTTCTATTTAACATGTTGGTTTCCATAGCTATTGAAATACACATTTTTAGATTAATAACATAGTCAAATGTGCTCTTATTCTGCTACGATATTTTTCCTTAAAGGAAAACAAACAAACAAAGACCTTTGTATAGGAAAGCACACAGACTAATTCAGATTTTTCACTGATATACACAGAGATTCACTAACATTCATGATGTCCTGGTATCTTTCGGAAGAAGAGTGCTGTGCTATCCCCTATACAGACATTTTGAATTGGTGACATGTGCCTTCAGTGATACAGTCATGATACTGCAACTAGGTAAGTTTTTTAGGGATTGGAAGTGATGCTGCATAGACACATTCGGTTTATGTCTGGGGTTTCTAATGATTTCTTCTAATCCTTTGGCCAGTTTCACCCACACTTGATAGATAGTGACATTTCTGGACATCTTGTGGCTTTGTGAAAATGGGGCTAGGGAGAGAACAAAATTAGTGTCCTTAGCAGGGAAAAGCCCCTGAAGTAACTCATTTATTAGCCAGCAGATAATGCATGCACTTGTGGGGTAAACTCAGCTGTATTATTCATGCCAGAAAATACTATGAATGAAAGATACAAATAAATTTCATTAATCATCTTTAGAAAAATCTTTGATCCAATCTTGTATTTTGGGAAATCAAGATTGTTGAACCGTGTTTTGTAAAGCTTTAGTGAAAGGGTCTTAAAAGTATTTTTCCTCTATACTGTATTTGTCTGTAAAGAGATTTTTTTCTGTTGGACAAGAACATTTTAATGAAGCTTTTATTATGGTAGGTTAGATGCTATAAATTTTTTAGACCCTATTCTAAAGGTGTCTTAAGTTTTTATTTCAAAGCAGGGTCTCTTACAGGTATAGCAGCAATCACTGTGTTTTCTGTTCTTTGTGTTCTTTAATTACCTGACTGAAACAGTGTTGAAAAAGATTGGAAGGATTTCTGATAAATTCCATGATTTGTCTCCTAAGGGATGTTTGTTAAAGCATCATTGTCTTCATTTATTCCAGCTGTTCTGTTTGCTTAAGGTCTCCTCATCATGGTTTTGTAGTTGCAAATCTGGGCAGCTTCTCTGCATAACTTAATGTTTGAAGAAATATTGTTTTAATTTAACCCTTGTCAGTGATGATGAGATTTTGACAGAAAGAAAGCTTACCCTCGTGTGGACTTCCTGCTCTCTTTGCCGGTCTCTTTTTCTAGAATTAGATCTTCTCTTGGTTTGTGGGTTTTGTTTTTTTGTTGTTTAACTGAGCCAGTCCATTAACTCTTCTCCTTTTTCCTGTTCAAGGTAGCTATTAGCATTTGTAATTCCTAAACTTTTCTGTGCATGTGCAATACAGAATCGCACATTTAAGAGCAAGAGGTGGATTTGTAATTCATGTTCAATGTTATAGCTCCTTGTAGGAATAAGGGAAAATGGTTGAGATGACTCTGTGCAAGTCCAGTGGTAGTTTGGGAAGAGCAGAGATCCATTTTTATCAGCATAAAAACTTGTTCTTTTAGCACTTCCTATATAATTTTTCTCTTTTAGAAGCAGAGGCCAAAATCTGACCTGCATATGTTATCTTAGTTCTCTGCTTGTTACTAGGAAAGTAACAGCTGAGTAGAGTTTTCATTAAAAAAAAACCAAGCAGTGAATGCCATGAAAACCATTCTATTGCAAAATAAATAAATAAAAATAATAATGGAAATTTAATTTAAAACTGAAGAATAAGAAGCTGACTACACACTATGTAGCTTTGTTTTGTTTCACATTCAGAAGTGGAGCTGTCACCTTAATGACTGCAAATTATCCTTTCAGCAGTGACATTTATTTATATATTCCCTGTTTATCTGAGACAGCTTTCATGTAACAGAACAGGTTTTCAAATCTATGGTTATTCCAGCTTCAGTTGTGCAGTTGTACACAGCCATGTTTTATCTTGGGTTGTTAAAGTGACTTGCAACTTTTCTATTTATTACTACTTTCAAATAAAAGCATTAAGTGCTAGGTATGTGTATTACTTTTTGGACAGCAGAATCACTCAGAACCAGCTCTTCAGTTTGTTTTCAATGCTTTTGAGTTGCAGGATTAAAACAAACGAACCAGACAAACTTAAGCAAACGAAAAAAACCCTGCAATCAAAACACAACTGCCAAAAACTATTGATGATTCAAAGTACCATTTACATTGTAACAGTCAGGTAGTGAAGTTCGAAGGGGAAGATGTACCTCTCCCTCTTCACTTATCTCCACTGGCTTATACTGCTGTTCGTAAGTGGAAAAAAAATGAAATTCTGATAGCAAAACAGAAATACAGAGCTGTCAGCCTTTTAGATCTTTTTCTGAAGAAGAGAGTACATGAGAGGTAAGCTGTTTGCATTTCTTTTAATGCTACGATGGAAAACAGTGAATGGATGAGTGAACATTCAATGATACAACAAAATACTTGCAGCAGTTGGGTGAGGGAGGTGGCGTCTACAACACTGTCAGGTTTCCTCATTCATCCTCCTACGCTGGACGTGTGGCTGATGTTGCTTCCTTACCCTATGCTTCCAAAGCACAGTGGCCCAGTAGTGATTGTCATCATGGTCTCCTGGTGTCACTCATGATGGTCTTGCTCCAACAGCAAAGTCCCCGTCTTCTCTGGAGGAGTATTTTTTTATGCTCACTCATTCTTTGGTGGGACAGGAGATAGGCTAGCCTTGTTTTTTCTGGCTTCAGTGATTTGCACTAAAATCACTGCCATAAGCTTTAGAAGAAATTCAGCTTTATTTAGCTGATGGTTTAAATGCTTTAGAAGCAGTGGATGAAATTAAGAAATGCAGCAGGTTTGGCTTTGTTCTGTGTCTGTGCTGTGCTGGTTTATTGGGAAACAGTCTAGATGTTTCTTCCTTCAAACTTCACCGGAAGTTGAGCCATGCTTTTGAGGAATTTCTGTTTTTACAAAATCCTTTGCAAAACCCTCTTTTACAAAACCCTCTTTGTTTGCTGGAAATGATGCCTCCCCAGTTTGGCACTGTATTGCAATATATTTCTGATGAACATGAAAAATGACTCAAAAACCAGATAATCAATTAAATACTAACACAAAGCTATTCCTCCTTGTATAGATGCAGGAGGATGGTGTTTACCTTAAAGGGAGAATTGGTTTGAGTTGACGCAAGCCGTATCTTGACTTGAGGTTTCTTTCAGGATGTTGGTAGCAGAAGCTGGGACGTAGGGTAATACAGTGCTTTAATAATAATATGCACAGTAAACTAATTTATTTTAAAGTACAAAAGAATTTTGATGGGACTGAATTGTTATGCCTCAAGTTATGTGACTTGGCTTTAAAAATCTTAGAGCTGTGTTGGTGGATTGCTTTCAAGGTGCAGAATACTGCATTTTTGAGCTATTAAGGATCCTTACATGTGGTTGAAACACTTTATTTTGAATAAATACTTCCTGCCAAAGTGTTAATTGTAAATTGAATGCATTAAGCTGATGAATGTTGAGGTCTTCAGCAGATATTTTCATAGGCCATTTTAGTGATATGTAATACTTAAAATATTTCAGCAATAGTGTTCAAAATTCAGCAGTTATCTACTGTACTTAACCTGTCCTTTGGATAGGATTAATAAAGGAAAAGAAATGCAGTGGTACATCCAGCTACAATGCTGTTTGCAACACAGTGTGCATACTGCATTTGACAGCTGACTAACAGAGCTTTGTCAGGTACGTCTTTATGCAAATACTTGGAACCCTTTTTATAAAGAGCTGTAATAAGTGATGTGGGTTGGTTCTGTCTGTATTTACTGATACTGTAACCATTACGTAATACTGATTTTGAAGTGATTGTCCATGAGCCAGTAATGAAGAGAACTTATTTGCGCTTTTTTTCTGTGACATAAAAGTTGCTTTGCTTCTTTCCATGCAGAAGTTAATACTAAAAGATTTTTAGATTGTACAATTTCCCTATTAAAAACAGTACTATTGCTTCACTGGGGTAAGTTATTACCAGGACATTTCCATTTAAAAGTCAGTGAGTGCTTTTCCTCTTGGTTTTAAGAATGCTGCTGTTCTCTTTTTATTGAGACAATAAAGTTCATTTTTCTCTTTTTAGATAAATGCTCTTCCTTCTTGAAAACATGGAAGAACATAGGGAAGTCTCCAGGAAAAATAACTTGCTGTAAAATAGAATGATGGAGCTATTAATTTCCTTTGCTTCCCATTATTCAGTATGAAAGCTGGTAGAATTTCATGATGATGTAAAATCAGTGTGTTATTTATATCAAATGGCAGAGAGAGCTGGAGTCAAATTATTATTATAGCCTTTTGTGAAGTAGTCTGTGGAAAGAGGACTGGATTTCTGCAACTGTAGAATTAAAGTTGCGGGTTGTTACTTACCAGCTATTGTAGCAATGAACTCCAGAAGAATCCTGTGATCTGCACGGATCTGCTCTGACTTCTATGATTCTTGCCTTGTCTGATCAGCCTCTTTGCTTCTTTTCCTCTGAAATTGCAACTCATCCTCTCTCCAGCAGGAGTACAACGATTTTTTTAATGGCAGGTAAAGAAAACCACCTTTGTCTCAGAAAAATGATGGGTTAATACTTAGAGTTGATATCCCATCTTGCAATATATTCCAATTGCCAGTTGGTTGTTAACCTCCTTTACCTCTAACACAGATCTTCACAGCAAAAGACAAAACGTATTAGTGTGTTTTAAGTTTTCTGACCCAATTCACTGTATGGTTTCACATGTAGTTGCAGTGGCACATGGTAAAGAGCTGTGGGAAAGAGGGAGGCAAAGGACTGCAAGAAAAAGCACTCAAGCCAATCTAAATAATAATACTACTGACTACATAGCCACAGCCTTAAAGTTAAGACCAGCTGTCTACTGAAGACTGAAGTAGGTAGCCAGACAGAACCTGTGGTACGGAATTTCACAGAAATATGCCAAGAATCATCATCTATGTGTGAGAATATCCTACATTAGGCTTAAATAGTGGTTTTCAGCTCTGATTCTTTTATTCCTGTGGTAAGGAGTTAAATGCAGTTTTGTCTGAGGACGTCTTGTTTATAAGGTGCGTGTACAAGATGCATGTTCTGAAAGCAGAAGTGTAGTAGTTTGCCACAGTTCGTGTGTTTGCCTTGAACAGAAGGTTCCCTTAGTAAGTCTGGCTAGGTTTGAAGCCTCTCTGATTAGAGGCCCATTAAGCTGCTGTAATCCAAACCTTTAATTTATGAAGTTAGACTACTTTTCATTGAGAATTAGTGCGTTAGTCACTGATTTACATTGTTACTTGGCAGGTGAGTAACAGGAGAGGATGTTGGGCTGGCAGCTTGACAGCTAGAACCTTAAAAAATTAGCAAAATTTTCATTCCACATATAATTTATTTTTAAAAGAGCACACTTTTCTTTCAAAACAGTGAAGTTTGACAGGCATGGCTCGACAGGCAGTGCTGGTGATACAATCAAAAGTTCATCAGTTACATTTGGGATTTTATATTCTTTTTCCTGACATTTGTTCAATTGGTCTCTTCCAAACCAGTGGGTTTTTCAGTTCTGTTGGTGACTTTTTACTCTCCACATCCTTACTCCTTATTGCCATCCACGTCCTTTAACTTTCATTCTCTGTCTATAGGCTTGAAAGTAAGCAAATAGATTTTATGCTTGAACAGCAGGGGGAGTTCTGTTGTTTCTAAAGGCTGTAAAATCCAAGTTCATCTGTGCTCAGTTTTCATAGCCTAGGAGGAGGCAGCCTCTTGCGAGAGGGTTATTAGATTCCATTTGCAGTAGCGGCTGTTTTCATTTGAATGGGGTTTGGGTTTTTTTTCCCTCCCATTAAACAGTGAAAAGAATTATTTATTTTTGTTTAGTGTTCCGGCACTTAACCCTTTAGCAACTTTCATCAGAAAACTAAGGGAGGAGATTCCAGCTAATTGGAAGTTACATCAGTCAGTTGCTTTCTTCATAAACTATGTTTGCATATGAGGAAAATCAAACAGACTACGGAAAGGTTTCCAGTTGTAGAATGAGAAAACGTGCAAGTTTTTAATCTTTTACTGTATTTAACAACTAGAGCCAATCTTACCACCTTGAGCCTGAAGTGAGTTTTTCTTTCTGGGGGCTCAGTTTGCCAAATTATTCTGTAACTAACAGAAGCAGGAAGAGTTCTGCTACTTTAAAGCCATGGTGAGATGTTAGCTGATGGCATCACTTATGTTGACTTACACGATTCCTGTGGCTCCTGCGTGCTTGACCCTGTTGTAGGCTGTGTGTTCCCAGCCTTGCTCCTTTCCAAGGCAGGTGTTTGTGTTAGGCACGTAGCAAAATAAGTTTTCTCATTCTTCACAAACTGTATGACTGTGCTGGAGTTCAGGCCAGCACAGCTCAGAAGTGGAAAGGCTGGGGGAAGGGGCTGCTTCAGCTGCAGGGAATTACATGCATGACTCTGCCTTGAGACTTTAGTCTTGAGGAGAGATTCCTGCTGAATTCAGAGGCTCCACATCCACATAGAAGTGGATACTGAAGGGTATAGTCCTATTACCACCACTCAGAGACTGTGAATCAACTTAAAGGTACAAGATGTTTGTAGATAGTATGGTTATTAAAGTCTCAAAGGTGAGAAGGTGGTAAAGATTATCTATGATTTCTGGTGAATTACAAAACTAAAAATCTGTTTCCAGGAAAAGCCGCAGTTTTGAAGTGTCTGCTGGACATTCACAAGATTTTTATGGAGAATGACCCTGCCTATATCCTGAATGATCTCTTCATTACAGACTATTGCATCTGGATTCAAAAAGCTAAGTAAGTTCTTAGGTAGCTATTGGTGCGGGAAATGTTTTTAGCATACTACATCTATGAACAAGTATCAGTAAAATTCCATCTCCTATAAATGGAAATGTGATCAGTGCTTTTCATTTAGTAACCTTGGCTGTCCAGCTGTTCTTACTACGTAAGCAAAGAAATTCAGTGCATTTTTGTATGTAGTGACACCACTGGGGGAGGAAGGGAGGAATTGCATTTTAAATAAAAATGTGAATTTTCATTAATATCTTAATTTTGGGGGGGGGGAAGAAAAATGTTTGTATGGCACTCATGTAGCATTAAGAAAAAGGTTGGAAGCAACTCCTAGTTTGGGATTAAAATCTTGATTTCCAGTAGAAATGACAACTTCCCGTTCCCGGTCGGACACGTGCAAACCATTTACATCTGTATGAAACAGTTGATTTATGGATTGTAGCAGTTGTACTAATTGATTATTAACAGCAGAATGTGTTGCAGATCTCTGTTCACTGTGTACTCTTATCCCTGTACTTGCTGCCAGCTCACTCTCCCTGGCAGTATGCTGTGGCTTCCACTTCACTTGAGAGGAAACAGTGACTCTGCCACTTCCAGACTAAGTGCCTATTCAGCACTTCTGCATCTCACCTGTGTTCTATCAACTGGAGCCAGCATGGCTTCGTTTATTTCCAGAGTCTTGGGAACCTGCAGCCAGACTGGTTAGAAATATCGGCATGCTTTAATCATTTAAAAACAGAAATATTGGTAGGAAAGCAGGGAGAAATGGATTAAATGAACAAAGGACGCTGCATGTTCAAGTCTTACTAAGCTTTATATTTTTCTTGCCAGTCTTATTCTATTTTTCATACAGTTTTTTCTTCCTTTTTATGTCTTCGGGAGCCTTCTCTGAAGGCTTTCAAAAGTACATGTATGAGTTGCAAGTAACATTTCTCTCAAAAGGAAGGTATTACTAATACAAACAAAAAATGCCATTGGTGCATTTGTTAATATAGCAACGTACAGACTCATAAACAGCGTTTAAATATAGCCTTTGTATTCTAGCTCACAATTTAATGAGAGACTGTAGGAGGAAAAATAACTTAAGTGCACAAGACAAAAGAAGCAGTGAGGGAATATAGAGGGAACTTGGTAATAATCATGATCAGAAAGAGGGATATGAAACAGAATTGAGCCAACTTGCATAAGCTTTATGCTTAGGTGTGACTCCACCAGTACTTCTTAGAGAATTAAAGGCTTTCAGTTCGTAGCTGCTTATTACATGTTGTACATATTGCTGATTTCTATTCTTTGTATGCTTTCGATGTCTATGTTCTTACAGAAACCAATACACAAAATATTCTAAAGCAACAACAGGCATTTCCAGACATTTTCATTTGTCCATCCTGATCGGTTACAGGAACAATTAGGAATAGCCAGTTCATTTTACGCGGTCATTTTTGAGGAGGTCTTGGCCACACCTTAAATACAGGAGTTGAGAAAGTACGTGGGGAAGGAGAAAGTTATTTTGTGCATCTTTCACATAAGACTGTAAATTACTGCTGCCCATATCAGTGTGTATAGTATCTAGCAAGTCAGTCATAAAAAACAAGGCTTTCTTTAAATACAGCAGAGGAAAACGTATGGTAGATGTAAGTGACTGATACATTAACACATTTACTCCCAGACGCATACATTATGTACCAGTTAAGCAGAACTGACAGCTTCTGGAAAGAGGGCAATTAAGCAATCTTATTGTCATAATGACATGGCACAATAGTTGTCTGTCATTAGGAGAACAAGAGGAACTGCAGAAACCTCTCCTATTTTTAGGGTCTGAATCAGGAAAGCATTTAAGCATATGCTTAGGTCATTCCTGTTCTGTTTAGCAGTGAAGCATGTGCTTGAGTTAAGCATGTGTGAAGTGAACAGGAACACTTTGGTTTTTCCCTTATGTTGAAGGTAACAACAAGTTCTCTTGTCATTCAGAAAATACCCTAAGAGATACAGAAATGGGTCGTGGCTTGTCCATTAAGGACAAGGGTTCCCAGCTCCCCGAGGTGAGTAAGGCATCTGAAGAGGAGGGTGGTACAGCTTTTGTTCCAGGGGAAGAAGGTTGTAACATCCCTCTGGTAATTGCCTTTGTGGAGAAAGAGGTTTGGGAGGTGAAGGTGTGTATAGGTACTTTTGTGGTAGTCTTTCAGTGACATTATTTGCACCTCTGGTCAGTCTCTGTCTTGTGTCTCAGCTATTCTTTGCTCCCTGCAAGCTTCATTAACTTTCTTTGTCTCAGTTTCCTCCTCTCCTAGCGGTAGTTCCAGGGCACTCTCAAAACCTTTGGAGGGTTTTTCTTTTGATTCCTCTCTTTCCCTGTTATGTAACCAAGTCCTAGTGGAGGTTGGGGCCTCTTTGCTTAAGCAGTTAAAGCAGACCGTAGGTCCTTTTTAGTGAAGAATACGATCACTTTAAAAACAGCTGGAAGCAAGCTTTTTAGCTCACCTACGCTGGCAAAGTCTAGGAGCTGTAGGTTTAGAAAAGAAGGCAAAAGGTAATGGAGGTATCAAGTGGTGGAAAGCTACAGTCCTATTCCGGATGAAGTGTCCAAAAGAGGAACGCTGCTGGTAGGTACTGGCTTTTAAATACATAAACCGCGTAGCCAACAGTGTGTCAGTAGCTGATTACAAATTTGGTTTGAGATCATAGTTTGGCTGTGACTAAGTTAGATGAATAAGTGAATGTGTCACTGGGCTGGCAAAAGATGATTTATTTTAAGCACAATGTACCTGGAATTGGAAATGCTTAAGCTGAATAAAACACACGCAGGTGGCTAATAGTCACTTGGGTATGGGTATGAGTAGAAGCTAGTGCTTTAAGTCTATTTATTTTTCCCCCCTCAGCAAAATGATTTCATTCAGGTACCTCTTACTAAGTGAAAAGTACTACAGGTCTTAGACAATGCAGGATTTTAGCTGAGTATAGCTGAAATTTCATCTTCCTGTTCATAATCGTAAAGCTAACTTCACCAGCTTTCTAGGTTTCTAGAATCTCTCTTGGAGCTGCTTGTGAAGTTACTATTAATAATCTGATCTGTTTTATAAAGAGGCATGTAAATCCTTTCAACTTTCATTAAGCTTTGAAAAAAGGGAGCATGTTGCTCAGCAAAACTTGCCAGAAAAGAGGGAGAAGTAAATGTTAACCTGGGTAACAAAAGCGAGACAAAGGCAGCTTGTAGTAAATCTCGGCAGGTGGTGTCAACATTTGTGTTGAAAAGCCAGATGCAGCCAGATGGAAAATTGCATCTTTAACCCCTGAGGTCATAATGACATGTCATCACTTCATTTGATCCCCCTGCTAAGTGAGCTTATCATCCACCCTGCTGTCACTCCTGTTATTACTTTCATTTCCATAATAAAATTAAATTTAATTTGTCTGCTTTGCATGCCTTTTTTTCTTTTAGGTCAGAGCTTTTACAAACCCCTATTATACATATGGCAGCCTCTCCAAGGAGAAGTTTGACTGAATTTGTATTATAAGTCTGAGCTTTTCTTCATCTTTCACACCTTACTTTGAGCAGAAGGAGATGAGGGAGAGGAGGAGTTTTGGGGAAACCATGGTTGTCTTGATAGCTGCAATATGGGCTGCTAAGATCAGGGGAGTCTGGGTGTGGGTTTGTTGCAGGAGAGCTTTTCCCCTTCTGCTGGAGGGGACTTGACATGTCTGTGACCCCATAGGAGTTGTGTTCTTTATTGGAAGTCGGACATTTACCCACTGACTCTTGCTGTGCTGAGGTTCCTTTGTGCAGTCTGATGCCTTTCTCCAGTTTTTTGTACCCCCTTTTGTGCTATTCTCTGTTCATGTTGCTTTTTGTTGTCCACTGTTGTACATATGTGCCTTCTGGTAGCTGAGCTGCTTGATGCCTGATGGCCATAACGTGAGTGGCTAGGTGGAGGGCTGATTGACTTCCTAGTGTCCTTCTTCAGGCAAGCAGTTCAGTGCATGCTGTCGTGCATCCTTGCATAAGAGAACAATTAAACCTGTGCTGATTTTAAGTATTTTTACTTGACATTTAAAAACGTGTAGTTTAAAATGTGTAACTTTACTTAATATATATCTTCTGTGTTCCTGGGTTTGAGGTGAAGCTGTTAGTGTTCCTGGCAGTTTCCAATGGGTTAGTACACAGTTGTATACTTCTCAAAGATTTATGGGTATTAGGAATGCAGGAGAGTAAGACGTTCCCACATAATTTGTTTATATTTTTCATTATCACTGGTTTTTTACTTTTTAACTTACCGGCTCACCTCTTATTCATCTGTTCTATTGCAAAAAATTACAGAGTTATTTGTGTTGTGTATCCTAGTAGCTTCAACTTGCACAATAAAGGTGATCTGTATGTCGAGAGAGATGACCTGCCTCAGTAAGCCCTTTGGAACTGTATCTGCAACTTGATTTGTTATATTGGTATATAGACTGGTTTAGTGTATGTGTGCTCTGTGTACACGTGTAAGTATACGTGCTCCACAACCTAAGACAAATGTAATCTTGCTAATTTGGGTGACTGTAGGTGTAACATGCCAGTTCAAGCATGGACTATTTACTTTAAAGAAAAATCAGGATTCCTGGTGGCATTTACAGTCTCTGTAGAAGCTGCTGTCTTTATTGGAACTAACTAAATTAAAGCGAAGATATTCCTAAGCGTGTTATGTTTGCTTGTCTTGATTTGCAGGTGAAACATACCCTAAAAGATAGGCTAGGTTCATAGGTCTGTTTTCCTTTTCATCTCTTTGTTATAATTGAAACCTAGTCCTTGTTACAAAATTACCTAGTCTGAAGCCAGCAGGGAGTTGCTGCTTTATGTGTAGGATGTGAAGTTCTCTAAATGTAGGATTAATTACATTCACAGCATGCCACTGAGGTGATGAGGTTGACTGTGATTGTTCAGCCCCCCTTTCCTTTTCCCCATGTTTTCTGAATTACTGTGTTAATCAATATAGTGTAATGTGGGCCTGAAGAGTTAAGACCTGATGCTG